ACAACGAGAGCGAGGAGTACTCGGATCGTTGGATTCTCAAGTTCACGCGAAAAGTATGTCCTGATTCCGCGCCGGCACAGATGATGCGTCGCGAAACGACGAATTCAGTAAACGAGATCAGCCAACCTTTTACAATGCTGGAGCTCTCACTCGCGCTCCTTTCGTGTCGCAATTTGGCTCCGGGGGCTGATAGGATCAAGTTCAACTTGTTGAAGAACCTCCCAGAGGCGTATGTTGAACTTTTTTGGTCAGTTCCTGGAGCTCAATATTGTCCCGGATGATGGGAGGCGGGTTAGAGTTATAGCCATTAAAAAGCCTGGCAAACCCGCGTCAGATTACAACTCGTACCGACCCATCGCGATGTTGTCGTGCATTCGAAAATTGTTGGAGAAAATGATCCTGTTTCGCTTGGACAAATGGGTTGAGCTGCAGCGTTGCCAGATTGTTTTCATGATTACCGGTATCAAATGATTAAAAAAAATCGGTATTCATCGGTATTCACTATTTTAATTATTTTTTTTTTTTTTTTTACTTTTGGACTAAAATTGAAGGATGTACTTTCCATGAAAGTCGAAAGAAATTTCTGGGAAATATTTGAATTAGTCTCTTAATGGTACCGACAAACCTTCCAGATGAAGAATAAAGAAGATCTCGTGGAGGAAGTTTGGAGGAAGTTCTAAAAGGTGTCGAAAAAACATCCCATGGGGATCTTCCAAGATAAATATTGAGAATCTTCTGACAAAATTTTTAGAAACTTTCGGAAAAAATCCAGAAGCCAGAAAAGTTTCGAAATCGGAAGCCAATACCGTAGGAGCCATTCACAGGGGAAGTTAGGAGAAGCTCGGAAAAACCTTACAAAAAGTCGAAAAAAAACCTACGGAGAGTGATTTATGGATAAACTTCCAGAGGAAGACGAAAGAAACCTCTTGGGGAACTCGATAGATACATCCGGTAGAACTTTAATTGAACTTCGTGGAGAAGACGGAAGAAACTTCCAGGAGACACTGGGACAAACTTCCTACGGTAGATTGGAAGAAACTTCTGGAAAAAGTCGGACGCCAGAGGGCTTACGGTACAGTCGAAAAATACTTCAAGGAGAAGATGGGAAAATATCTGGAAGACATTGATTTCTGGGTTCTCTGAACTTCCCGATTTTTTATTTTTTTTTAAAGTTCTCGAAACTGTCGAAAAAGAACACAGAGCTTCCCTTAAAATGTTCTCACAATTTTCTAATGTTCATGTAACTTCCCTTACGTTTCCAAAATACTCATGAACCTCTCGAAACTTAACTGAAGTTTTCGGAAATTGCCTGAGTTTCTCGGAACTCATTAAAAGGTTCAGAAATTTCCCTTAATTTATATGTCCGGATGTTCTCAAAGCTTCCCTAAAGTTATCTCAATTCTCCTGAAACAAATGGAACTATCCTGAACCAGGGTTGCTTTCACTCACTTGCTATAAAAATATGTTTTTTGGAATTCTACAATCGTTATATATTATTATGATCTTTTGTACTTGTAAGTTAAAAGAAAAGGTTGCTAGGTATGTGTTTGACACATGAAACCTGTCAATTTCGCTATCAGAGTGTTACTATCAGCGATTTTATGATTCGTGAGCGTTCACTCAGAGTGAGCGCTCGCGAGTCGTTGAATCGCTGATTGTGACTATCTGAAAGCGAATTTGACAGGTTTCATGAGTCAAACACTTGCCTTTCAACTTATTCTTGTATCTAACAAGTACAAACTATCATTATAACATCTAATGATTCAAAAATTCCGAAAATCATTTTTTATAGCAAGTGAGTGGAAGCAAGCCTGTCCTGAACCATTAAATTTCTTTGAAGTTCTTTGGGCTTGTGAAGTTTCCAAAATATTTCAATTTCCATAGGTTCATTGGAGTTCTCTGGGCTTTCCTGCGATTCTTCGAGAAAATGTAAGCATTAGTCGAAAGAGTATCAAGCATAAGACATTTTTAAAGATGATGTTTTTAGAGCAGACTAAAAAAAAAATTATTTTCAAGAAGTCTCATAATCTCGCTCATAATACTTTCCTCTGACAATACAGTGCGGGCAGACAGTAATCATTTTGATTATTAATAAAAAAAACGGTACAAATCGGTATTAAAACTCAAAATCGGTATTCTGAGAAACCTTATCTGTATATCGGTATCAAGTTTGAAAATCGGTATATCTGGCAACGCTGTTGAGACGTTCCACCTACTTTCAGATACTGAGTTTAGTTTTCGTAGGGGCAAGGTAACGAACGACTTTCTCGCGTTGCTTTCTACAGAAATTCAGTTGGCTTTTGCTAAAAAAGAGCAAATGGCTTCTGTGTTCTTAGATATTCAGGGGGCTCTTGATTCAGTATCGGTTGAAGTCCTTTCAGACAAACTCCACGTTTGTGGTTTTTCTCCATTAATTAATAACTTTTTGTACAATTTGCTGTCAGAGAAACATATGAGCTTTTCTCATGGAAACTCTACAGCTTTTCGATTTAGTTACATGGGTCTCCCCAGGGCTCATGTTTAAGCCCCTTTTGTATAATTTCTACGTCAGAGAAATTTACAATTGTCTAAAAGACAACTGCACGTTTAGACAACTTGCAGATGACGGCGTAGTGTATATGACAGGGCCCAAAGGCAAGGACCCTTACAGGATACCTTAGCAAATTTGTCTACTTGGGCTATCCAGCTAGGTATCGAATTCGCCACGGAGAAAACTGAGTTGGTCGTTTTTTCTAGGAAGCATAGCCCAGCACAACCGAAGCTTCAACTTTTGGGTAAGCCGATCACTCATTCCATGTCTTTCAAATATCTTGGGGTCTGGTTCCAAATGCACCTGGAGATCTCAAATTGAGTATCTGAAGCGGAAATGACAACAAAGGATCAATTTTCTCCGTACAATTACCGGAACGTGGTGGGGAGCTCATCCGCAAGATCTTCTAACGTTGTGCCGGACAAAGGTTTTATCGGTTTTAGAGTACGGTAGATTTGTTTCCAGTGGTCGGCTAAAACACATATCATCAAACTGGAACGTTTCCAGTATCGTTGCATGCACTCGACTCATACGATGAGTCTTGAAGTGTTGGCGGGCATGTTACCACTCTCTGATCGGTTTTTGGAATTGTCTCTCAGGCTCCTGACCCGTTGTGAAGTTATAAACCCACTGGTAATCGAAAACTTTGAGGAGCTTCTTGAGCTAAACCCGCAAACCCGTTTTATGTCATTGTACTACGGGTACATAACACATGATGTCAGCCCTTTGCAGCGTAATCCTCATCGCGTATGCTTCTCCGACTTCGGCAATTCAGTTAGTTTTGATTTATCAATGACGCAAGAGATTCGCGGAATCCCAGGACATAATCGTTCCATGATTGTTCCGTCATTATACACTGCAAAGTTTGGCCAAGTTGATTCCGCAAGATCGTTCTTCACAGATGGATCACTAATAGAGGCGTCCGCTGGTTTTGGTATTTATAACGAATTTCATAGCGCCTCTCGAATGTTTCATGCTCCTTGTTCCGTATATGTTGCTGAAATGGTGGCAATACATTATACGCTAGAAACTATCGCCTCATTTGCACCAGATCACTTCTTTATGTTTACGGATAGTCTCAGTTCTGTTGAGGCTATTCGCTCCATGAGGCCGGTAAAGCACTCCTCGTATTTTCTCATAAAAATACGAGAGCTTCTAAGTGCTTTATCTTTAAGATCTTTTGTCATCACCTTCGCATGGATCCCATCTTATTGCTCAATTCCGGGTAATAAGAAGGCGGACTCACTTGCTAAGGTGGACGCTATGGAAGGCGATATTTACGAGCGTTAAATCGGCTACAATGAATTTTTCTTCATTTATCGCCAACAGTCGCCCGCCAGCTGGCAAAATAAATGGAGTGAAGGGAGTTTGGGACGATGGCTATACTCGATCATCCCTAAGGTGTCAAAGAGTCCTTGGTTCAAAGGGTTGGAGGTGAGTCCAGACTTCATACGTCTGATGTCTCGCCTCATGTCCAATCACTATTCGTTAAACACTCACTTGTTCCATGTTGGGCTGGGGGATAGCAGTCTCTGTGAATGTGGACAAGGTTACCAAGACGCCGATCACATTATTTGGTCTTGTGCTGAGCATCATGGAGTCAGATCTGAGCTGTAAGATTCCCTTCGGGCTCGAGTTAGACAACGTAATGTTCCATTTCGGGATATTTTGGCTAGACGCAATCTGGAGTTTATGAAACTCATATATGTTTACTTTAAGAATATTAACCTTAGATTGTAAGTTTGGTGAACCTTGTGTTTAGTTTGTATTTTCTAAGTGTGGGCTTCTTTAATGTTTGTTTTCAAAAAATAAGTTCATGTTTAAGGATTAATTAAATATTTGTATCGTAGATCACATTTCTAACCTCCTTCTCCTTTTTCCAATCAAAAATATTTTAAATCTCCACTAACCTCGAGACAACCGCGAGGATTCGGTACAGTTCATTTAACTTTATATATAAGACAGTAATAATGTATAACGAAAATGGTAACTCGGCTCTGCAAAGTTTATTCGATTCAGCCTGTACAAATAAAGTAAGTATTATTTTTCGTGGCCACAAGTAACCATTCATTCGTTTGTAATTTACTTCCAAATTAAAAGACCAATATTTATCTGTCAGATGGTTGCGCAGAGCATTATAAAATTAATTTTAATTTAAAAACTTGTGTAACCAAGACAAGGATTTTAACATCAGAGCAGAATGACACTTTTTTCCAGCTGCACATATTTTTGGTTTCTTTTTGTCCCGTGAGATCCTTAATCCAGTAACGTTTATAATGCAAAGGGTCATCTTTAAGAATTTCCAGGAACCGTAAAAGGCAAATAACTACAGATACGTCTGCTTAATATTAAAGGTCAGAAAGAACCTGGTCTAAAATGCGTTAAAGAGAATATATATAAAAAAAATCTTCTAAACGAACCTTTGCAACCAACATTAATGCATTTCCTGTTTTTTTTTTTTGCTTTCCAGATGGACGACTAATGGCTTCTACGTGTCACTGTCCTTCATCCTGTTCCTGCATCTAGTAGTACTGATCGTGTTTGGAGTCATAACACTTTGCTTATCAAAATCTCCCGTTGCTGCTCTACCAAGGATGACTGTATAGGAAGCTAACACTCAACTCCCCCCATTAGAAAGCCGTCATAAAGCGACTTATCTGATTAAAGGTTTTACATGCTTGTTTCGCAGCAGACAACCGCAGGAACATGCTTGCCAGGGTGAATTCCACGGGCAACAGTGCAAAACTGCATTACGGCAAGGAACTTTAACATGTTTTTTTTTTTGTTTTTGTTAAGTTAACTTTAACAGGCCATCATACATGCCGTTTTTTAAGGCGTTTGGTGTTGTTTTTAATTTCGGTTTTATGACGGCAATAAATGTTGGACATCGGTTTTTGGAGAAAATCCCATCGCAGAACACTGAGCGCTAATGAGTTGTTTAAATTCATATGAAAGTGTTTCAGTCAATAAATATTGTGTTGTCGACGATATATTAAATAAATTGAAGTTTTCATTTCTGAAGCGCCTTAAAGTTGAAGCGTGTGATAAAATTCGATGAATTATTTACCAAACAAGTTTGAACCAGGATACCACAACAAATTATTCAGTGCTCTACATACGCGAAAAATGAGAAATTCAAGGAACTCCGGATGCAACAATGTTCCATGCTAATATTAAACAACACAGCTGCAAGGTTTCGACTAATACATTTTGCAGCAAGTGCATCCACTTGCAAATTACGAACTCATCAACGCCGCATAGCATTTGCCGGTGCGGTTAATCAACATCTCACATTATCAGGATTGAAAATGCCTGACCCCATCAAATGATTCTGGAGCATGCTTCATTTGTTCGAGGAAACATTTTAAGAAGAACACAGCCCAGATGAAAGATAACTCGATCGATTTCAACCGAATGAACAGCGCTAAAAGCATCATGTATCATTGTCGCTGGCCGAATCGCTGATCCACCTTGCAGCAACAGAAGCACCATAGCCGATTGCAATCCACCTTGCATTTGAAAAATGATTCTCGGCAGCTGTTGCAACGCCGGACTGTCACGATTTCATACCATATACTGGCACATACAACCGAATCAACCACCTTAGAATAATTCAATTTCACGATAAGTAATCGAAGGAAGTACGCACGCTTTTCCGATTTGCAGATGTTCTGGCTAAAATGAACAACGAGCACGGTGGCCCGGTGCTAAAAATTCAAATGATTTACGAAGTGAGCCGTATCAGAGAACCCGTCCTCAGCTGCGATTGGGATCCCGGTGACGACGTGCAACAAGTGTGTGGCATGTTACCCCGGCATATACAATGTTGCATGGCAACCGGCTAAGAACCCAAGCTGGTCAGAAAGAGCAAGGACCGAGCGTTGTTGGGATCAAGCGACCTGCACGGGAAATTTATTCCAAATTACGAATTAATATGCCTCCAAAAGTTAATGTTAATTCACGATGCAGTTTGGGCCGACAGCTTTATCGTCGTCCATGGCCAGGACTGGCGCTGGATGGATGTTCAAGCTGTCATCATTTCGTGTTTAATTGTATATTTGGTTACGTATATATATATGGACTCTGTCTGCAGGCAACCGTCTGCGGGGTATTCGACCCATTCATAGTGCAATCCAGTCTTTCCATGCAGACGCAATTCGTTTCCATCGGGCGCCTATTTAGTTGTTAGGTTTTTTTTTGTTTTTAGCTTGCATTTGGCAATGGTTCGATTGAACGGAACGATCACCACCGATATTGGGTAACTGCTTTCGACGATGTTGTGGTCACGCAAGGTACACCTTAATTTGGCAGTGAAAAGTTTAATTAGAAAGATTGCAACATGTGCCTTTCGTTTGCGACTACTCGGCAAAGCGAATTAAGATATTCGGATGTTTCATGTAGAACGCGATGTTGTGGGTCGGACGAGTTGTTAAAATTTGCTTGAATGAGAACATAAATTTGACAATAAAATAAGTGACGAAAAGCATAAAAACTTGCAGGCCCTGCTAAACAAGTTCACACCTTTGCAAAATAGAGGCGAAACTTAAAACACTATCATGTCTGTAAAAAAAAAGTATAAATAATAAAAATTGAGGTTTGAACACAATTCAAGCTGCATCGTCTGAATTGTAGCAAACATATACCAACTAGAGTAGCAGTATCACCCCACCCAGCCCTATGTCTTGTGTAAGCGAGGATAGATCAGTTCAAACTCACAAAAATATGTTAAAATAAAACAATTTAATTGACGTTAAATAATTGAGTTACAGTGTTCGCTATGTAATAGATTTTTGTTTTAACACAGATAAAGGACAAACTCAAATGATATTCGGTTTATCTGTCACAATTTCGCAACATTAAAATGTAATAATATGGTGTGATATGTATTTTAAACCGGATTGTTATACAAAATGCATTTCTAGGTGTGGTGAAAAGTAACCTCCTTGGAAATAATTTTTTTTTTTCTAAAGGTTTTTTTTTTTATTTTATTCAATATAGTCTCCTTTTAGGTCGATACACTTATACTTATACAGCGATTTTCCAACTTCATGATCCCGTCAGAAAAGTAATTTCCCGGAATGTCTGCAAAATACTCCTGCGCGGTGTCGATTTCCTTTATTGATGAGCCGTATTTTGAGGTTTGGGAAGATATAATAGTTTGAGGAAGCCAAATCGGGCAAATACGGTGGATGTGGAAGCAATTGGAGCCGTAAGTAATTGATTTTAACCGTGGTTGCGATGCTTTTGTGCGCCGGCGCATTGTTTTGTAACAATTTTTTTTTTTCGCTTCATGTGAGGCCGTTTTGCAGCGATTTCGGCCTTCAATCGCTCCAATAATGCACAGTAATTAATCATTTTGTTCGATCATTTTCCACAGAGATGGCGCTGTTCCGCTGATAGGAAGTGATAAAAATCTTCATATATAAATTGAGAGAAGTGGGAATAATTCGCTTTCGGTGCATATTCAGGTCAAAAAAAGTGCACGACAACCTAAAGAAATTAATTGTAGTTCAATTTTTTCCTGGAAATTATTGTTAAACAAGCTACAATAAAATAAAAATGATTTTTCCCCATACAGTTCTACCTGATTTACTACCAGCTCCCAGAGAGCCAAACAATTCAAATTTGCAATCTCTCAACATGCCATGTATTTTGCTGACACTTGATTTGTGATTTCCCTTTCACAGATTACAAAATAGAGTACCTGACACTACAAAACATGTCTGGTACCTCTATATATGCATTTGCTTTAACATTTGAAGTCCCTCCTTTTTTACATATTCTGCGCAAAAGATAGTTTATGCTCCGCCCCATACATAAAATTCGGCGGGAAATTCTGTGAGGGGTGAGCTATTTTGTGTGCAGAATGTGTAAAAAAGGAGGGACTTCGAATAATAATCTAAATGCATATATAGAGGTACCAGACATGTTTTGCACTGCAGTGTCCTCTGTGAACAATTATAGGAAAACAGATTGTGTCTAGTTTCCGATAGATGTCACCGCAAACAACAGCTGTGACATCTGATGGAACATGAATGCAGAAGCTTGACAAAAGGATCAATACTCGCTGTTGGTGATTTTTCCTTTTTCGAGGTAGTCCACGAAGAGTATGCCATGACAATCCCAGCAAAACCGACGCCATAACCTTTCCGACCCATCGAGCCTCCCTTGGCCGCTTCGGAGCACTAGTGTCAACTTCAGTCCATTGCCGGGCACTCCTTCTGTTCTCTGGGGTGTAATAGTGGATCCAGGTTTCATCAACAGTTACCAATCGACGCCAAAAGTCCGCCCGATTCCGCATCAGCAAGTCCAAACACTCTTTCGAAGTGCTCTCGCGTTCGTGTTTTTGGTAAGGGGTGAGCTTGCGCGGCACCCAGCAGCAGGATAACTTCTAGATAGAGCTGGAATTAGGGCGTAACAGCTTTAGTAAACAATGACTTCTACCGATGATTTCTATGAATACAAGGCACGCCCACGCAGACCAACCTAACCATCGGATAGGGGAAGTCTTTCCCTACCCGATGAGGATGTTGGTTTGCGTGGTTGAGCCTTTCTAGAAATTTCTAGAAATCATCAAGAGAAGTCATTGTTTACAAAACCTGTTAGGCCCTAATTCCAGCTCTATCTAGACTTTTTCATTTGCAGAATCTCGTCCAAAATATGGAGTGTGCGCTCAGTACTAATCTTTGCGGTATCTGCTAGCTGCACATTGCGGTCAGCCAATACCATTTCATGTATTTTTTGGCATTGCCCTCTGTAGCCGCATCGGAGAACCTGCCGCTGCGGACTTGATCGGTAGTGGAGTTGCAGCCACCACAAAACTCTCGAAACCAATATTTGACGGAGTAATTTGACGGAGCATTAGCCCCATAATATTTATCCAACTTTTCTTTTGTTTCCTTCGCCGTTTTGCCTCTTAAAAAAATGTTTTATGAGAGAACAAAACTCGTTACATGAACATGATACCAAACACGTCAACAACAACCAGCTGTCAAAACAAAACTAAAGACAGTATCGCACTAAAATTTGGCATGTCTGCCTAAATATGAACGGACTACAAGGCACTATAACCTTTTTTGCAGTAGCAGCGCATTCTGGCGGTCAATGAGGTTAATTTTCACCCCACTAGTAAATAGAGAATTTTCACTCCGGATACTGTAAGTAAACATTATTTAGTACACAGAAATATATTGCAGAAATTTACATGAAATTTTCATACGATATAGGTACATGAAAATTGGTTGTCCATATTAAGAAAGTAATTTTGAATGGGATAGGAACTGAATTTTGACATAGAATAAAATTAATTAATCATTAATTTTGCAAATATTAATTATATTATTAAGCAAAAAACAATCCCGTAGTCCTACGTTAGTAAAGCAGTCGTGTTTGGTGTAATTTTGAGATACAGGCAATCACAATAACTCGATATTGAAGGGACCATCGAGTTACAATTATTGGCTTAAAGAATATAAAAAAGTTTATAATTATAAGAACAATCTCGAAATATTCAATTTACTGTACTATTTGAATTCATTTTTTTTTCAAGAATCTATATACGAAAGTTTTGAGTATTTAATAAATAAATAATATAAAGCTAATATGAACAAAATAACACAATTAGACTGTAAATTCTTAAAATCAATGAAAGGTTCTGGGTCATGATAGGTTTTTAGACATTTACCCAAGGATGCCTAAAAAAGTAGAAGGGTTTGTGCCTAGTGGCACGAACGGGAGCTTGACGTAGGACCGCTTGGGCACGGAACAAATGTGAAGAAAATTTAGTTCTTTTAATTGATCGATCATCTATTATCTTAACTCTTTCCGTTTTTGATTGTAGTATTTTTTTTAAGAAAGTTGATGAAGATAATCAATCAAAATCACTTCCACCCCTGCTTCCAAGTTTGTTTTCAAGATTACAACTCTGGAGAGCATTTTGTGTGGTCGTTGGGGACATGTGGTTCTGAATATGGACCAACAGGC